ACGTATTTCCTTTCTACACATGTACACACATAGCACGTTTTAAAACTTTTCTCTAGGACAGGGATGGGCAACTATGGCAACTTTATGACTTGTGGATTTCAAGTCCTAGAATTCCTGAGCCAGCCTTTAGGAATTATGGGAATTGAAGTCCACAGGCCAGTAAGTTGCCATAGCTGCCTACCCCTGCTCTAGGATGTACCTACACAGGTTTTACCTCATCCTATAATATAATCGTGAAAGGAAATATGTTGTACTTATAAAACCTGCTTTACCAATCATTGGTCAGGTCAGATTTCGATGGGATAAACATTTCAACCTCCAACAGTAAGTGTTTTAGAATCTGGAAATGATCCACCTCAGACAAAGAAATAAAGGAAGACAGACTGTAGGAATTATTCAACGAGAATCAGTATTTTCCATACAAGAATTTGTAGCTATTTTATTGCACTTAAACACCAAGAATAAATTTGACAACCCTAATTTCCCCCCTTCACCCCAAAAAATATAGCATAAAATTTTAGCAGTGATCATTTGTTCACAGCGACAGCTTCAAAAAAACTGGAAGAAAGAACCCGACACGATCACGCTGCTTTACAATTCTGATTCACGTACAAAAGATACTGACAATTTTTTTTTAATTTATTTTTTTCGGAGTATTCCGGTCACATCAAGTTGCAAATGAGAGGAAGAAACTCTCTGAAGTTTTTATTTGCTTACATTACAAAGCGGTTTTTTTCCCCAGTTTGCGTTTACTTTTTGCATTCGTGTGAAATAAATATTTCCAAAGATATTTCATATATATATATACATATATATTGTGTTTGTTATTTATATAATATATATTTATATATACACATAGTTCCCTTTAACTTTTTTCCTGTTACTTCCCTCTAAAGTTAAAAAGTCATAAAATTGTGCAACACTTAGAAAATGAAAATCCCGAACAGTTTCCCACATATTTTACTTTAAGGCAGAAAAAAAGTCAAAAGTTGGCTTGTTTGCAGTCATGCAAGAACTGAAGAGAAGGAAGTAAACCCATCACAATAAAACATAAAATATGGAAGATAACTGGGAGGGGAAAAATAGCCTGTATTCCCAGCCATGTGGGAAGCCAAGAGAACGGAATCTTCATTTGGAATCTCCATTTGTTTAGCGGGGGGGATAATCACACCAGTCTAATTGACACTGACCAATGTCATAAGATCTGCTATGAAATTCAAAAACGTGCTTATTTTCTAGAATCAGAAATAAGTTGATTTGCAAAATAATGAATCGGTAAATTCATAGTGCAGCAGAAAATATTCTTCCATTATTCTTTTAAAATTAGTTTCTGAATTCACAAACTATTTCATCTGGAGTAGCCTCTTTTCATCTTGTCCAATTTACTAGCGCTAAAATAGACACATTGATTTATTTAGAAAATCTTCAGAGAAAGAGCTCTCTCCATACCGCTATATAAAAATATTAATAGACAAAGCACACATCAGCCCTGGTTTCCTGTTTTTTATAAAGAGTAATGTCCAGACAAGACCTCCTGCATTGCAGTTTATGGATGAGATTTGATTTTGAATTAGTTTGAGTGTTATCCTTTCATTTATGATGCTTTTGTTGAATGTTGTTTCTTAACTATAAGTGCATGGATTACTTTTTTGCTCAAAATGTTTGCCATTTTTACTTTAAAAAAAAAAGTGAATATGCTTCCATTACTTTGATGCAATATCCAGAAAGTCATATCTTGTTGTGATATTTCTGTATGGGACCATTTTTGTTAGATTATAAAAATCAACTCCTCCTCCTTTAAAAAAAGGTAGAAAAAATCAATGACATTTCTAGGAGAATGGTGGAAAAAATATAAATAAGCTGTAAATTTTGTTAGAAGGAATTAAAAAAAAGATGGTGACAAAGGAAGAACAGAGAAATGTTATGAGGTGCTGTCCAAACATTAACAAAGATATTGTGTTGGAAAAAGTTAGCAATCCATTAGACACCAAAATCATTTCCCTCTTGCCAAAATAATTTAAATAAAAATAGAAATGGTTCTTTTTGCAGAATAAAATGATGTAAGATACTTCTTCCCTACATTTTTTATGTTACAATCAAGAAAGGTACTGTGTTGTCTAATCTCTGAAAACAGATCAGTCTTCAAAGTTAATATTAATTATGACTATGAGCCCTAGCATACAAAATAAATAATCAGAATGCTTTGTGTTTTATTGACAATTTCTTTGCAGAAGTTTGGAATCATTAGAAATGAGCCATTATAAATGCTAAAAATCTGAAAAAGTAAGAAAGGACAGAAAATATAGAAGAGAAACAAGTATAGCAATGGATAGTAACGTGGCTATAAATGCTTCCTTAGTTAAGGGGAAAAAAAGTTTTAAAAATGCCAATGCAATCCAGAGGATTAAAGTGCAGGTGCTTATGTCAGATGCAGTAGGTAAAACTCAAAGGAGTTGAAATACATTTCAGTCTGTCAGGGTTTTTTTTTTAAAACTGGAAGACTAAAAACTCAACTCAACTTCCTGTAGATTCTAGCTTCTCTTAGCTTATCAAAGCATTGCTCAAAATGACGATGGAAGCTATAAAATATTACAAAATGCAATGTTTAATTTGCCACAAGAAAGATACTCAATGGCTACTCTTGATAGACAACATAGGTAGGACTCTTTTTTCTACAAGTGAAAACTCAGGCAAGATAGGCTGTCAAAGTTTAGCAAAGCTGAAAAGTGTTTAAGATTTATTACCTAAACTGGGATTTTCATGAGGAAAGAGCACAACAGTAAGTCTCTAGCCAGTTATTTGAGGATGAATGAGTTAAAAGGAGATTCAAGCTAAAAAGAAGATCCATTTCTTCCTTGGAATCCAGGGCTGAGTAGAAGGCTTAGTGATAATATAAAATTATGATCTGTGGGAGAATGACCCTTCAAAAATAAATGTTCATGATAATGAGGACCATATTAATGTGAAATATCAGGGTAGAACTGGGTAAGGACCCCTTCCCCCCAAAATGTTCTGAAACCCAAGAAGTTTAAATATGAACATGTATTCAGATCCATACAATCGTACAATACCTCTTGAACTCTAAAAGCCCTTCTCAACTCAAATAATCTCAATATAATTCTTCACAGCTCCAATGGAGCATTGAATCATCCAATTATGTTATCAGTTTTGTGTAAATGGCATATTTCTACTTTGTAAAAAAGTAAACTTCTATTTAAGGCAATCAAATCCTACCAAGTAGGCGCCCTGTAATTGTCATCACTTCCCCCCCTGCTCCAGTGGGAAATTATTCTTGCCTTTTTGCAAACATAGTTTTTATAGCATCATGTATTCACACTTAGAAGATGGAAAGCTAAGCATTTTACGGAAAAAGTAAAACTACATCATTCAAAATGTATACAGCAAGCTTATCCATTTTCTGTTGTAATTGTTCCTAAACCAGCATTGTTTGTTTTGAAATACACATAGCGGTCTATAAAGTTAGATGTCATGCAAATGAAGGAAGCGCCATTTATAAATTCATTCCCCCGGTAGTAGAAGTGCATGGCAGTTAATTTCACACCAAAGAGTAAAGACTCTTAAAGCTGGAAAAAAATAAAAGGGAACAAGGAACAGAGACACTGCCAAAATAATAATAAAAACAACAACAACAACCCTCAGGCTTCTTATTTCTATCCTTGGAAGGCAAGTAGTTGATGCCTTCCAGGTCATTTTCAACATGTTTTCTCTGTCATTCAAAAAAAAATTATACAGGCTTAAGAAGAATCTATTTCTCTGTTTCTTCAAGCTGGCTTTTATGTCATGATATATTAACAGGTATTGCCACTGTTCCAACGTTGATTCTGTCTTCATGATGCCATTCAGATGTGCAGTTTGGATTGTCAGGCCTCCGCAGCATATAACAAGTGAACCCTTGGCAAGGTTCTTATATTTGTGTAAACTTCTTTCTGCCTTTCCATAGGGCCATGTCACACATCCTTCTTCCCCGTTTTTTTAGTTTCTTGTACCTTTTTACACTTTTCATAACAACTTATCACAAGTCAACTCCAAATGTAAACAATAACATATTAAGTCACCCACCCCACCCCAACTTTATTTTAAAAAAATCAACCACAAACCCAAACAGTTGATATTTCTAGGTATTACATAAAGATCCATTTCAGCAATACTCAAAAGTTTACGAAATAACACGGGTTTCATTTTTCCTGTAAAAAGGCATGCAAAAGTACAAGAAATAGCGAAAGGTTTCATTTTGTTTGTTAAAAGCATCATCGAAAACCCTCAAAGTGTCCTTTGTAAAGCTTGCATTTTCTATCTTTGCTGGAAAGGGTTGGCCTCTATTTTTATTTCAAATTAAGGGGCAGCTTTGTTTCACACTATAGGTATCCTCCATACTGCCATGTTTCCTGAAATTCATATGTAGGAAAGGTGGATGAAGGTAGAGGGAGGGCTTTGGGAGTCATTTGTTGATTTATTTAATGGCTTAGTGCTACCAAAATTCAGCTGACTGCTAGATACTGTAGTAGCAAAGAGAGAGAGCCAGAACTGGGAGCCCGGCTACTGCTATTGTCTAGTTAAGAATCCACATCTTGAAGAGGCAGAGAGAAAATAAAATTCATAGTGTTAAAAATAAGGAAACAAAAGGCCTGCTGAGACAAAATCTAACTTAGTAGCCTGTGAAGTCAAAACAGCACTTTTTTTAGGCAGCTGTTTCCCAACTGATCACAAATAAATGAAGCTTCTGTTATAAATTGAATAGTGGTAATTATATACGTCACTATATTTCACTATTTTGAAAATATCTCACTATAGTGAAAACTAACATGAAAATAATTGTTGTGGGCTCAATATTTTCAAGCTATTTTTTTATGGTTACTTATAACAGTGTTTTTTTTTTTAAAAAAAATTAGACAGCTTTAAGATGTGTGGACTTCAATTCCCAGATTTCCTCACCCAGGATGGGGGAGGGGTTGAAGTCCACAGATCTGAAAATTGGCAACGCCATTCAAAATAAAGCTTAATTCACTCCAAGGAAAATTTGTGAACATAGAGATTTTCTTGCATAATAGAAAGTTGTTTGGAATTTATGTAATTAATAGTTTAAACCAAATAATTTTGTTTATTTACTTGATGCGTATGGCCACCTAATAAGTTAGTTGCCTGCCTCCTGGGTTTAGGAGGGTGTGGCATCGGATTGAGTTGACAGCTGGTTCCAGGTACAACTGAAAATGGCTGGCATTGACTCAGAGTGGCTTCTTCCCGTGGTGTCTGGATGTTCCAATCAAAATGGCCTCCCATTAGAAGGAGCAGCTACTTGTAGCTTATAACTTCCAGGAGATGGGGGCTGAAGCCAGAAAGTGCTGGTTTTCTATTTGTTGAAGGCTTTATCTCAGCCTCTTCCATGTTGGTTTCTCGTTGTCTACTGAAAGCCGTTTCCTGCAACAGGGCCATGACACATGCTGTCTTCTACTAGGATGGCACAGAATAGCAAACATGAACCAGGTGAAACAGGAGGAGAAAAGTCTACTAAATGCTCAGTTTATTTTGGTAAGGAGTTCCAAGGGTAAAAGGAATTCCCAGCAAGAAACAAATAGGAGAGCCAGCTGCCAAGTTCCCTAAGTAAAGGATAACAAGTATCTTCCTTTTATAGTGAGGCAGTGAGAAACTTGGCCTGCAAGGCAGGTGCTTCAGCTGAAAGACACAAAAAGAAATAGTTGTTTTACTCCAACCAAACATTGTTTCCTAAAACTGGTTCTTCACAGCTACCCTTTCTTGCCTCCATATCACTATTTTTGTCACTTGTCTAAAGCTCTACGAGTGTCCTCTGTGGGCAAATATGGAATCTCGTTTGCTACTGGTATTCAGCTCTCACAATCTGGGGAAATAAAGGTGGCCCTTAACAGCAAATATGTACCGTATGGAAGTTGGCTGCTATGTTGGGAGGGCTTCTTCTTGCCAATGATCCTCTGGGACTGGAGGAGAACAGCCTGCTAATAACTGCCTAATGACCAGCTGCTATTACATGTGTGGGGAACGATGCCCCCTTTATGACTTGTAGACTTGAACTCCCAATGTTCCTGAGCCAGCATGGGAGTTCTGGGAGTTGAAGTCCACAAGTCCTAAAGGGGCCATTGTTCCCCACACCTGTGCTATTAGGTTCAGTTAGGGTTGGCCCACAAAGCCCCAAGAACTGCTTTAAAAAGTCATTTTCTCTTGAAGAGAGAAGATAGCATATCCAACCCTCAAATTCTGATATAAAAGAATATGCAAGACAAAGCATACATGTAAGCTCCAACCCAGTTATAAAAAAGGGCTTCACTGTAGCTTTTTAGGCTGGGAGGTAGGGATGGGCAAAACCTTGTTTTCTCAAACAGGTTGTTCACAGCTAGCCATTCTTGCCTCATATAATCCATTATTTTTATCACTTGTTTAACTTTGCATGAACGTCCTTTGTAGACAAATACGGAATCATCTTGACAGTTGTGCATGTTTATATGTTTGATAAATTAATTTAATGAAATTCTTACCCGTCTATAGCGGCCAAATGAATAGGCGCAGCTCTACTTTGCATGGAAAGGGTCATATTGTACCTAACATCCATGTAGTTGTTACATATAAGAACCCAACAGAAAAAAAAAATCAATTCCAGGAACATGGCTGAATGCAGAAGAATGCAAAATCCACACTTTTCAGAGCTTAAGCACTTGATGCTTTTAATGGGTAAATCATCTAGTGTTGTTCAACCCCAATCTACAATTTTTCCACCTCTCCATGAATAATTTTACATAGTTTACTAAGTTTCTTATTTTAAAAAAAGAAAAAACTATTCCCATGTTTCAAATTCTTAGTGCAAATCCATTAAATACATATACATATACATATACATATACATATACATATACATATACATATACATATACATATACATATAC